TTTGATTTTGCAAAATTTTGCCAAGCCTTATTTTTTTAAGGTCAATTTTGAGTGACAATATCTCGGGCGTCTCTTAAGGGGAGACGTACACTCCCGGAAAAATTTTCTAAACGAAAGACTTTTATTCAGTTTCATGTAATTGTGCAAGAAGTTCATAGGTAAATAGGATGTACTAGGGGTGAATTTGTTGAATTTTTATGAAAAATGGGTCTCTGTGGCGGCCATTTTGGATTTTCAAACCAGTTTCTAAGTGCAGAAGAATTTCATAGTAAATATTGAATTATCAGCCTGAAATTCGGCACACAAGTACAAACCTATATGAACTGGGGATCCATGAAAGGATTTTAACCTATCTTTAAAACTAAAAAAGTGAGCCCAAAGTCATTGGACCCTCTAGTGTCAGTTGACGAAATTTTGGGGTACATATTACAAAAAAATTGAATATTTTCTCAAGTTACCAATATTTCCCAATTCCCTTTCATAAATCATAGATCCCTGGAATCGATCTTAAAGCACCTGTACACCAAATTTGAAGCTTCTAGCTTCTGTAGTTTTTGAAAACTCCTGCACCCAAGAGGTCACATATATGTCAAAAAGTAGATTTTGAGAAAAACAGAAAAAACAGGGATTTTTAAAAGGATTTTTAGAAGAATTTGCACTTCTCAAACGCCTCTTTAGGTCATTTAGGGTGTTTTTTCTACAGTTTCTTTATTTTGACTCGATAGAACAGATGTCAAAGGATGTTTTTCCGCAAAAAACAAAAGTTGGATAGTTTGAAAAAATGTATCGATATTGCCTTGGATCACCGACCCGGGTCTTCCCTTAAAATAGATTAAATATATATGTCAGATGATGAAGAATTTATTTAGCTTTAAATTTAAATTGGTATGCTGCATGAGTGGGTAATGCAAGGCTTTAACACGATGACTGGGTGATTACATTTTCAAGTTTCTTTTGGATGCCACGGTATAACGGACTACGTTTACAGTAAGTTTTGCACGTCCAAACTTTCAGGAGTTTTCTCTCAAATTGAGCTCTTTCAGAGGGGAGGGGGGGGGGGGGGGGGGGACACAAAAATCTATCATGCGAAAAGTTGTTAAAATATCGTCATAATTTTCGGTATACTGATAGATGAAACATTATTCTAGTGTAATAAATAGTGACGTCAAAAAAAATCTTGAATAAATGATTTTATTATAAATTCAATCCGTTGTTTGGATCTGAGATTTTTGTGGTCAAAATATTTCCATATTTAGGACCTCGACTCTGGAAAAGTTTTTCCTCCTACATCAAAAATGCCAAGTCCATCCTCTAAAACAGCCACGGAAGGCTGCAAAACCACTTATTGTAACATTTAAAATCATGTATCACCGGATGATAGATTTTTTAGAAATGTGTGCATTTTCTATATATGACATTCCAATATGGCAGGCGTTACCATAGCAATACAAAAGAATGTTCAAAATTTTACTTCATGACTTAATTCTCCACTCTTTTTATATTGATGCTACCCCATTTGTAAGCTTAGTTTCTTCTGCTTAACGAATTTCAAAATTTCCCCCGCATCATGCCTTAAACCGACAGTGGATGCTCCGTCTAAACGAAGCTTGAGTGCCGTGAACGTAGCCTCAACAGCGCCTGCAAACTGCATTCAGGGCGCCGTTAACGTAGCCTGCCAACTACATTTACGGCGCCGTGAACGTAGCCACTGCGCATCATGTTTGACGTCATTGACTATGATTGACGGATTCCCACTTTGTCAATGGTGGTAACACGACCGCTCGACAGCAGCCTGCTGACTTGGATTATTTTCTTTGCAACTTGCAGAACTGCTTGGTTCGGTTGTCTGTGATTGTGCAGCACCCATCTTCTGCCCAGATTGAAAAAGACTAAGAGTAGGCCAACGTATGAAAGCAAGTTCAAAGTTCAACGACGCAGTGCTAATGATTGACCGTTTCGATCCGGATCGTTTCTTTTAAAGTTTTGTAAGCACAAGAAATTAAGCACTTACAAGGGATTGGACTCAATAAGACGCTGAGCTGCAAATGGAGTAGATCTAGTTCGAGACTGCAAGGTTTGCAAATGGATACTGTGAAGTTAAAAGCATTAAAAACTAATTAGGGAGAACCACAAGGAGACTCAAAGAGGGAAGCTTAGAAACTGCCAGTGCAAACTGCACGATATGCGAAATCATCACTAGCCTAGGCCTAGATCTAAATCTATAGAATTACAATCAGATGACGTGGCGGGCATCCCCCTTGCGAGGTTAAGCAAGATCGCTGTTACTATAAATATCGGCCAATTGCATTTAGTTGTTGTTCTATACTATAGCTATCTGCTTGTGTGAAAAAGAGCTGTTGTAGGCTCTCACCCAGGGTGAGAGAGAGCAAATCTTCTGGCTATTCTCAACTGGTGTGCGTTCACCAAGGAGTTTACAACTAATGGAGCCTACTCTCTCTTCGCGGCGCTGCGAGCAGTACGCCGCATTGGGGATCAAATATGGCCACCGAGTGTGGGCTAAATCACGAACTG